ATATTTTCGATAATTTAATTGACGGAAGAAGTTTATGACGATATTTTGTTGCATTTAAAGCATTTTGAGCCTTTTCGCACATACTCTCTTTTATTTTACAGTTGTTTCAATATCACGCAAAAATGTGAATGTGGCATTGGTTCTGGCATTTTTGTACAAATTGGTGGAAGTGTTCGAGGATTATTTCAAAGATGTTGAGGAGGAATCGATTCGGGATAATTTTGTGGTAATTTATGAGCTGCTCGATGAAATGATGGATTTTGGTTACCCGCAAACAACAGAAGGAAAAATTTTGCAAGAGTAATGAAATTTTCTTTCGGACATTTATATTAACCGAATTCTTTGGGTTCACGTTTGTTAGGCTTTTCTCGGGCAGGATGTACCAACATCTTAGTGTAACAACAGACTTCATACGGGCAAATCGAACTGTTTTGATGGTCTCTAAGTTCAGCACCTCTCCATTGGTTTCTTATTCTTTGTTTCTTTGAGCGGCAATTGTACGTTTTTGAACGAAGCTGAGGTTTAAATTTCTCCATATTTCACTTGGATGAAAAGGATAACTGCGCTCGGCCTATAAAAAAATACCAGTTTTAGCGTCACTAACAGGGCGTACCCACATTGAAATTTGCCCCCTTGGTTTTGATATTTTTTTGGTATGAGAAGCAGAAGCTCTCGAAAATGACTGAATTACGTGCATTTTATCAGCAGAGGACTTTCGATGAGCACCGTTTATTTTTTAAAAGCATCGTTTCAGCTTTTTTTTCAGACTTGAAAGTCAGAATTTTTTTTTTGCATTTTGTTTCGTATGAAAAGCAACCTAAAAATTGGCCATTTAAAAGCACTTCGTTAACAGTAACTACATACTGACAAAGCTCGAGTTGCTAGGAGATAAGAGGTTTTCTTGGATTTTAAGTAAATAGTTTATTTTTTTTTTTTGTCATTGTGAATATGATATCTTCCAGATCTGTGAGAATTTCCTGTCCGTGAACCTTCTATGAATAAAACTGAGAATATATAAAACATCCAAACTGGACCACTTTTACGTATTTTTTGAAATTTTTACTAAAACTGTTTTCAGGTTTATAACACAAGAGGGCCATAAGCTAGAGTCGGCACCGCGACCGCCAATGGCTGTAACAAATGCTGTTTCTTGGCGCTCTGAAGGTCTGAAATATCGTAAAAATGAAGTATTTTTGGATGTCATTGAATCCGTAAATTTGCTGGTAAGTCACTTAAAATTACTGGGCAGCTCATTTTGAAGTTTTGATTGAATTTATTTCCATCGTCGCATTCCTTCTCACCATTATTGTAGCTGCAACTTGTCCATTTTTGACTTTGTGCTCATCACTTACAAGCTGTTCTATATATAGAAGTATTGTAGAAATTTTAAAGATAAAAACAGTGAATATTCCTGGTAAAGAGATTGGAAGAGAACGGGGGCCTTAAATCTTCTATGTGTTAAAATATGCAGTTTGTTTGACGCTGTTGAACCACAGTGAAAAGGAACACAATCGAATTTTGACAATTAATGAAAAACTGAAATTGCCATTAGATCTACCAAATAAGCAGGCCTGTATGTGTAATGACTTGGTAGCCTGTCTGTGTCTCATTCGTAAGTTGTAGGCGGATTTCTTCACCATACTGACTGTCTTCTATAAATTCTTTAAACGTTACATTAGCATCGTTCAGTAATCCGTTTTATCCCTCCATTGTACTTCATTATTTTCATATGAATTCTCCCTAACAGAATTCTTCCTGACGTACATTATCGTGGCAAAGTTACTCACACCAGACCGGACCCACTGGTTATAGACAGGAAGTGAAATTGTGACAAAATTTTATCTCATTGTTAATTTTGTAAATTTTTCAGGCATTAATTTTCCTTGTGCATTTTTTTTTTATAGGCTAACGGAAATGGTACAGTACTGCGCAGTGAAATTGTTGGTTCGGTGAAAATGCGTGTTTATTTGACGGGTATGCCCGAACTGCGACTCGGTCTCAATGACAAAATTCTGTTTGAAAGTAGCGGAAGTAAGTTGTTTTTTTTTAAATATAAATTTAGATTTTACAAAGAACAGGCCACTAACTTGCGTTACTTAGTAGTAATTAATACAACTCTTTTGCGTAAGGTTGTGATTTTTGCTTTTTCGATTGGGACAATCGACCCTTTTACGATTCGTTTATTATGCGTTTTGTGCTGTGTAACAGCAGTACAAAACGCATATTGTTACGGGGTTGTCT